ACTGCATTGGCCGGTTGAAGAAGTTATCAAAAGCGAGTGGGTTCTGTACTCGTGTTGTTCCATCAATATCACGATGAGAAGATTCAGGGAAGTTGCGGATTAGTTTTGTTAATTCTTATATGCGTTTTCACTCACAGAGGTATTGCCTCGTCGATTAATCTGCCTGTCAGAACAAAATTATGCATAAACCCCAGCCATCTGGGGAGTGGAGTTCTTTCCTTACTACCAAAGTGTGTTTACACTTGGTTTTTAGTCAGCATGTATTATTTCCTTGCCAAATCACCGCGTATCTGATCCAAAGGCGAGGATAGTGGATAATAGACAAACAACAGATCACTGAAACGGTCGTGCACGAAAAAAACGAAACACTTTAGGGAAAATAATATTTCTGTGAATGGGGAAACAATAAACCAATACCTTGGCTTGTATCATTCTATCTGGACATGTGTGCCCAAATTACTATTCCATTTAAATTATTAACCTTCGATCAAATGGTTTTGCATTTACTTCTTAATGAGTGAATTGAAACAGCCTTTTCCAGATATGAACTTGAATAAAGAACATAGCAACACAGTGTTGTACAATTTAATTCCGTAAAAAAATCGCTTTATCTCTTCATACTATAGTCAAAGAATATGATGAAAACTAACAAGTAACATTTACCGCGGATGAGCTGTTCGTGTTATCTGCGTCCATATTTCTTTTCAAGGTAGGGTTAGAGTTACAAATAACTCCTGCTCGCACAGTACTTATGAGTAGTAAGAAGAAGAAAGCATAATAAAAGCCATTGAGAAATTCAATAAATTTCATTTTCAGTTAACGCGATTTCAGCGAACCCGATTTAATTCGATCTCGTTATATTTTTCACCATCTAGTTTTGTGAACTTTTACAGTTTGTTACTTACCTCACTTTTCAGCTTTTCCAAAGCACCTTCGGTATCTCGTAGCACTGGTTCTATTTCTTTACATTCAGATCGGAATATGTTGGTTTTCCTTAATTCTTCAAGTCGTTTTGGATACTGGTAGATATCCTCACTTTTAGGCGGAGGATCAAGTGCATGAAGAAATCCTCGATAATCGAAACCTTCATCGTTTGAATGACGAGCGACAATCGCATCTATCTCGGCCGGACTGAGGGAAAAATTGAACATTGTAACTAACTGGCGAAAGTTGGTCGATGACACATATCCCCGATTGTACCTGTTGAATATCACAATGAAAAATGAAATTGTAACTTTAGCAACACACAAGAGCTCCCAGGTTGTTTGGTTTCTTGCGAGTACACGGTGATAGAATATACAATCATAGCGTGTTCATCACTATGTTTTCACAGAGGCCAACTGCAGTTCTGTAATATCCCGAATATCTATCGGAATTGAATAGAGCGTGAACTCGAATTCAGACTGAAAACTTACTGAGTAGCGTAATATCAGGTAGAACCAAAACGAGCAGTGGATACGGTTAATTCTATTCAGAAAATCACGCGAATAAATATCATCACAATTGTCAATCTAAGCGATATCGAAATGGGCCATTTGTTTGGACTATACGTTATAGGTGACCAACATAGACTATATATATATATATATATATATATATATATATATATATATATATAT